ACAACCACTGTAGGTTTCCTCATTCCCACAACCACTGTAGGTTTCCTCACTCCCACAACCACTGTAGGTTTCCTCCCTCCCACAACCACTGTAGGCTTCCTCACTCCCACAACCACTATGGGTTTCCTCCCTCCCACAACCACTGTAGGTTTCCTCACTCCCACAACCACTGTGGGTTTCCTCACTCCCACAACCACTGTAGGTTTCCTCACTCCCCCAACCACTGTAGGTTTCCTCACTCCCACAACCACTGTAGGTTTCCTCCCTCCCACAACCACTGTAGGCTTCCTCACTCCCACAACCACTATGGGTTTCCTCACTCCCACAACCACTACAGGTCTCCTCACTCCCACAACCACTGTAGGTTTCCTCACTCCCACAACCACTATGGGTCTCCTCACTCCCACAACCACCGTAGGTTTCCTCACTCCCACAACCACTATGGGTTTCCTCACTCCCACAACCACTACAGGTCTCCTCACTCCCACAACCACTACAGGTCTCCTCACTCCCACAACCACTGTAGGTTTCCTCACTCCCACAACCACTGTATGTTTCCTCATTCCCACAACCACTGTAGGTTTCCTCACTCCCACAACCACTGTGGGTTTCCTCACTCCCACAACCACTGTAGGTTTCCTCCCTCCCACAACCACTGTAGGTTTCCTCACTCCCACAACCACTGTAGGTTTCCTCCCTCCCACAACCACTGTAGGTTTCCTCACTCCCACAACCACTATAGGTTTCCTCACTCCCACAACCACTGTAGGTCTCCTCACTCCCACAACCACTACAGGTCTCCTTACTCCAACAACCACTACAGGTTTCCTCACTCCAACAACTACTGTAGGTTTCCTCACTTCCACAACCACTACAGGTTCCCTCACTCCAACAACCACTGTAGGTTTCCTCACTTCCACAACCACTATAAGTTTCCTCACTTCTGACTCATTGGATAAACCTGCTAGGAATTGTTAAATATTTTACAATTATGGACTTTTGTGCTGGTGAATATGATGTGATATGAACCTGAAAAAGTGATATTGACTGAGGCGAAGCTGAGGTTAATATCATTATTTCAAGTTCATTTCACATCATATTTACCAGCACAAAAGCCCATAACTGTTTTATTATATGCTTCAACAATAAAATTAAATAAAAATCAAGGTTATCCATGTAAAATTTAGCCAGGGTTGAATCCAATAGTTCGGCATCGTAGCATTTTAAAACATTGCCAAGGTTATTTTCCTTAAGATAAGCATGGAGGACTCGCACTGCGTGTCGCGTGGCCTTGTTTGTGTTAACCGGGTTAACAGGGTGAGGGGAATTTCCGTATAAGCTATATTTAGAAATCGATATTCACCGGATAACCAGTCTACATAAGTTTTTGAGGAATGGTCACGTATATAGGATCCGGCCAATGTGATTGCTAGAAATTTTCAAGCATATAATAATTTTGGTTACCCACTAGTGCGTAGCACCCTGCACGTTATTTCATTGGTCAATTTTCTAATTATGACGTCATGTAACAATGCCTTGCGACTTCACCTTTCATTGTGACGTCATAGTTTGTGGCAATCATTTCCCAGATCGGAAACAGGTATAATGCATTCCAAGAGAAGGTTTTCATATAATATCTGAATGTTTGGGGAGAAAAATGTCTGCAAACTTATTGGGGAACCTCTATACCTGTAGACACAATGTAGTGCAGGTTACCCCAAAAGTTAAATACAGGAATAGAAGTTTGATTTACATTAACCATCACATAAGCTTGTCCTGGCTGCTGTGTTGTTTCCATTGATATATAGCACACTCTCGCCCTACACTTGTAAGATCTATATTCACCCTGTGTTCATTTCATTCTCCACATTTGATCTCCTACAACTGTACACTGATATGATAAATATGCAGGACAAAAAAATAAATAAATAAATAAACAGCTTGGAAATTTTCCCAGTATACAGTAGTATACTATTGTCTTTGATCTATTTATGCCAGACGAAGCCTTGTCCTTCTCATTCAGTAAAATATTCACTTGAATTAAATATTTTATAGAGTTATGGCCCTTGATGTTTGTATGTTACATAAATTATGATCCTCCTTCAAATTAAAGAAGGGTCATATATTATTGTGCAGTCCTTATTAACATCAAGTGGTGCATTAAAACACTCCAAATATCCTCTTCATGTGTTAAAGTTAATTGGGAGAATGATGCATCATGGGTAGAAAAATTACAAACGCTGGGACTTGTGGGCGTTTGCCCCTCACTCATTCTTGATTGTTTTCTGATGAATCAAGTACAGGGTTGCCAACTCTCACGGCGTGAGACAAAACCTCACGCTAAAACGTCCTAAAAACGTCCTCACTCACGCTTAAGCATGTCTCACGCCACGTGAGCCATACATATCACGCATTCGAAAATAGTCTCCCTCCATCCCACGCGAAGCCATAAATCGGCAATGTATAGCTTGGACCGTACAAAGGGAAACAACTCCTATTGCAATGTTGTGCTTTGGAAGTGAGCTGATGACGAGGTGTCGCTTTACATCCGGTGGAAACGAATGTAAATAATATCGTAAGGTGAGTTGTTTTCACTCGTAACCTTAATATTGAACATACCTATCGCGCTGGAAAGTTCTACTCATAATGTTGTCGTGTATGAGGAAATATTGTTGTCGGGTCGTGTCTTCACAAATATTAAGAGAAAACGATTCTTGAAACACGAACAGACGAATGACTGATGAAAAGTTCGAAGTTATTTTTGCAGTATAAGTGGTGAATATGATGTAACGTTAACGCACCAAAGACTTGTAGAACTAAACACTTTTCAATCTGATGTGATGAAAAAAAAAAACGAGTTTCATGAAGTGCTTTGGCATATTGGATAGACGTAGTACGTAGGTATACATAATCATGCAACAAATAAATTAAATCAGATTGCAAACATGGTACAAGTAAATGATCAGGGTCTGTTTGTTGCTTTGGATACTGTAGTAGGCCCAGCCAGAAATAATTGGAAAATATTTTTCACTGTCAAATTATCATATTTTTTTTTATCTTTTATGTTAATGAACTTTTCATATTACTACTATGGTAAATTTCTTGCTTTTAATATGAACTGTTATTTTTTTTTGACAGGTCATGGAACATCCCATGCCATAGTAGCAGTATTGACAGTAAAATAAAAAAGTGACTGGTACCTGTTCTAGCCAAGAAAGAAATTGTTACAAGAAAGTCTGTTGATTATAATGTGTTGCATTTCTGATGTCAAGTTGTTTGTGTGATAAATAAAAATTTAATATATATCTGCAAAAAATTATTTGTTTTTATTTCCTGCAAAGATCTTGAAGTAAAAAGATCAACAATGCAGATGTTACAGTAATCAGTGAAAGCCAGGATTTGTTTGATACATAGGTAAATGTTATCTTAACACCTGAAAAAGATGTTACGCCGCGACGCCGTCAAAAGTCTCACACTTAAGAAAACTCAGTGGAGGGAGATCTCCCACACTGGACTCCTTAGAGGTTGGCAACCCTGCAAGTATTACAATTTTAGAGGGAATATGGGGATGTTTTCTGATGAATCAAGTATTACAATTTTAGAAGGCATATGGGAATGTTTTCTGATAAATCAAATCAAGTATTACAATTTTAGAAGGAATATGGTGTTTTCTGATAAATCAAGTAACTGGAAGGGATGTTGGGACCTAAGGGTGGAAGGACGAAGGTTTATACTTAGGACACAGTGATAGTGTATTCTGCTTGCTTCTCGTGACTTAACTTTGTGTTGATTTACAGATGTTGACGAGTGCGCACGCTGGGGGACATTCTGTGCACAGCAGTGTAAAAACGTGAAGGGATCCTACAAATGTTTGTGTACGGATGGTTTCCATGACGTCAAAGGGAAAGGCACACACTGTAAACCTAAAGGTCAGTTCACCGATCACAATTTTGTCAAAACCTTTCTTAACAGGATTTCAGAGGAGATATTTATTCATGATAGTTTTTAGCTGACATGGTATGTGTCAACTTTTTCTTTGAACAATTTCTTCTTAAGAACTGGAGGACCTAGGATCATTGATATGTCACCAGTAGGTATCTGGGACAGAGTGCTATACAGGGTCCTCAAATAAATGACCATGACGTACTTTCAAAGTTGACAGGGATCAAATATGTCAAGACCTTTAAACAACAGCTTCTTCTGAATATAACCAAGAGGCCTTGATAAATGATATTTGGCCTTTAGGTACCTTGGATGGAATACTATATAGTTTCCTCCAATAAATGACCTTGACCTCACTTCAAGGCAACATTGGTTAAATATATAAAAAAAATCTTTAAACAACTTCTTCTGAATAACCAGGGGGCCCAGGGTGATGATATTTTGCCAGTAGGGACCTGAGATGCTTTGAACTGTCAAATGTGTTAAAATGTTTGAAAGCCTTCTTCTGAATAACTAAAACACAATTGGTGATGATGATTTGCCAGTAGTATGCTGTGATACGGTGCTATAAACTGTCTTCAAATAAATGATCTTGACCTACTTTGAAAGTCACAGGCATCAAATGTGTAAATAACCTTTAAATACTTCTGAAACCCTCTTTTATTTGTTACTTATATGTTTTTTCTCTTGTTTTCTCTGAAAACTTCTTTAAAGATCACAAGGGTCAAATGATTTTAAAACCTTTAAACATTTTCTTTTAAATAACCAAGAGACCAAGAGAAATGATATCCGGCCAGTAGGTACCTGGGACAGAGTGATATAAAGTTGCTCAAATAAATGACCTTGACCTACTTTCAAGGTCACATTGGCCAAATATGTAAATATCTTTTAACAACTTCTTCCACAATACCAGGAGGCCCTGAGTGATGATATTTGACCAATAGCATGCTGGGATAGAGTAGTATAAAGTTTCCTCCGGTTAATGACCTAATGACCTTTTAAGGTCAAAGTCCTCTTCAATTTTGTTTTTGATACATGTGAAAGTGCCAGGGTGATGGCAGTTGGCAAATAGCATGTTGGGATAGAGTGGTACAAAGTTGCATCAAAGATATGACCTTGACCTACTTTCAATGTCACAGGAGTCAGGTGTCAAATATATGGGCCCCCTTGCTATTGTTGAGAATAAATTGGTCATAATTTGTGAGATACATAGTATCTATCTAATAAATATAAATTGTGAATTCAAAGTTTTTAAGAAAATTTAGACTGACACTTTCAGCAAGGAAGGACAATAAGATTTGTATACATCAATGTTCATTTTGAAAATTTGAAGTGTGGCGATTAAAAAGTTTAAAGATTAAATGTTAATGGACATAAGACTCAGTATGGAAGGATGACGCAAACGGAAGGGATGTGCCCTGTGTGTATTAATGATCAAATGTGTTAAAGGGGTTTGGGAATTCTACCTGTAGATGTCGTCAGTAACATAGTGAAACAGGTTTGTCTAGTAGGACTAGATAGGACTCTCTTTCATCCTTGTAAGTTTAGGATCAGATATTGTCATCCTAATTTGGCACAGCCTCAGGTATCACTCCAGGTCCAACAGAAACCCCTAGACTAGAACTACCCCTTTCTTCTAAATATATGTATGAGATTCTTAGTCTTACATATGTAGAGGTGGGAGAAAGACCTGTATAACTGTGTTCATGAAAATACACAATTTTGTACTTGATAAATTGATATATGTTTAACTTGAGTCATAAGACATGTCGTTTTTGTACAAACTGTTTTCAACAATTTTCATCCTCATTCTGATTTTGTTCTTGAACAAGTGAACAGTCTAAAGGATGAAAAGAAAAAATTCTATATTTCATCTGTAGTTAGCAGTTCTGGATTGCTAAATTTTAATCCAGGTTTTCTTGTTTAAGGTGGACAGATGCTCATCTATTTCACGAGCGGCCATGAAGTACGTCAAATCATCCCTGACAAAAAAGCGTACTCAGGAACACTGAGCTGGGGGCGCCACATGGGGGCGCTGGACGTTGACGCAGACCGTCGTCTCCTCTACTTCTCCGATCTGTCCTTGATGAAGATTGAGCGGGCAGGAATTCCAGATGACATAAATAATGGAGGTCCACCCCGTCCACAGGATTTAAACGCAGACGTGACCCAGGTTGAGGGCATCGCCATTGACTGGGTCACAAAGTACTTGTTTAAGTTACGATATCTTATAACCAATAAAACAGTTGAAATGAAATCACCCATTCATATAATCAATTTAATTGTAACTTATAACAAAAAAGTTTATTTGTGTATTTTTCTCACAATAACTGATAATTATAGACTTTAATGAATATTCTAATTTGAGGTTTTGAAATTATCTCACTCGATTTATAGGCTGTCTGAAACATAAGATTCAATTCATAAATGTGTGAAATATATTTTAATATCAAATAAATTGACTATGCACAGAAACATATACTGGACGGATTCAAGTCGCCGCACTGTGTCAGTTGCCCTTGACGATGGTAGATACCAGAAAACCTTAATTAGTGATAACTTGGTTCACCCACTGGCAATCGTTGTGAACCCTAAACTGGGGTAAGTATGATCTCCCCTGCACCTCATTACAGTCAACACTTAACTGTGGTGAGTTATCTCCCCTGCACCTCATTACAGTCAACACTTAACTAGAGTGAGTTATCTCTCCTACACCTCATTACAGTCAATACTTAACTAGGGTGAGTTATTTCCCCTACACCTCATTACAGTCAACACTTAACTAGGGTGAGTTATCTCCCCTACACTTTATTACAGTCAACACTTAACTAGGGTGAGTTATCTCCCCTGCACCTCATTACAGTCAACACTTAACTAGGGAAAGGTATCTCCCCTACACCTCATTACAGTCAACACTTAACTAGGGAAAGTTATCTCTCCTACACCTCATTACAGTCAACACTTAACTAGGGTGAGTTGTCTCCCCTACACTTCATTACAGTCAACACTTAACTAGGGTGAGTTATCCCCCCTAAACATCATTGCAGTCAACACTTAACTTGGATGAGTTATCTCCCCTACACTTCATTACAGTCAACACTTCACTGGGATGAGCTATCTCCCCTACACCTCGTTGCAGTCAACACTTAACTAGGGTGAGTTATCCCCTCTAAACATCATTGCAGTCAACACTTAAGGGGGATGAGCTATCTCCCCTACACTTCATTACAGTCAACACTTAACTAGGGTGAGTTGTCTCCCCTACACCTCATTACAGTCAACACTTAACTTGGATGAGTTATCCCCCCTACACCTCATTACAGTCACGCTTAACTGGATGAGTTATCTCCCCTAAACATCATTGCAGTCAACACTTAGCTGGGTGACAAATCAGAAAAGGTGGAAGAAAAACTTTGCCTGCAATATCGTTAAATAAGGATATTCCTTATGTTACTGTTGTCATGATAATGATGTTACCAATGATACTGTTGTCAAGATAATGATGTTACCAATATTACTGTTGTCATGATAATGATGTTACCAATATTACTGTTGTCAAGATAATGATGTTACCAATGTTACTGTTGTCAAGATAACAATGTTCACAATGTTACTGTTGTGAAGATAACAATGTTCACAATGTTACTGTTGTCAAGATAACAATGTTCACAATGTTACTATTGTGAAGATAACAATGTTCACAATGTTACTGTTGTCAAGATAACAATGTTCACAATGTTACTGTTGTCAAGATAACAATGTTCACAATGTTACTGTTGTGAAGATAACAATGTTCACAATGTTACTGTTGTCAAGATAACAATGTTACTGTTATCAAGTTAATGATATTCCAAATATACTGTTGTTAAGATAATGACATTCCTATGTTACTGTTGTCAAGAGAACAATGTTCACAATGTTACTGTTGTCAAGATAACAATGTTCTCAATGTTACTGTTGTCAAGATAACAATGTTTTCAATGTAACTGTTGTCAAGATAACAATGTTTACAATGTAACTGTTGTCAAGATAACAATGTTCACAATGTTACTATTGTGAAGAAGGGTGAGTTATCCCCCCTAAACATCATTGCAGTCAACACTTAACTAGGGTGAGTTATCCCCTCTTTAACTAGGGTGAGTTATCTCTCCTACACCTCATTACAGTCAACACTTAACTAGGGTGAGTTGTCTCCCCTACACCTCATTACAGTCAACACTTAACTAGGGTGAGTTATCTCCCCTACACTTCATTACAGTCAACACTTAACTAGAGTGAGTTATCTCTCCTCCACCTCATTACAGTCAACACTTAACTAGGGTGAGTTGTCTCCCCTACACCTCATTACAGTCAACACTTAACTAGGTTGAGTTATCTCCCCTACACCTCATTACAGTCAACACTTAACTAGGTTGAGTTATCTCCCCTACACCTCATTACAGTCAACACTTAACTAGAGTGAGTTATCTCTCCTCCACCTCATTACAGTCAACACTTAACTAGGGTGAGTTGTCTCCCCTACACTTCATTACAGTCAACACTTAACTAGGTTGAGTTATCTCCCCTACACCTCATTACAGTCAACACTTAACTAGAGTGAGTTATCTCTCCTACACCTCATTACAGTCAACACTTAACTAGGGGGAGGTATCTCCCCTACACTTCATTACAGTCAACACTTAACTAGAGTGAGTTATCTCTCCTACACCTCATTACAGTCAACACTTAACTAGAGTGAGTTATCTCTCCTACACCTCATTACAGTCAACACTTAACTAGAGTGAGTTATCTCTCCTCCACCTCATTACAGTCAACACTTAACTAGGGTGAGTTGTCTCCCCTACACTTCATTACAGTCAACACTTAACTAGAGTGAGTTATCTCTCCTCCACCTCATTACAGTCAACACTTAACTAGGGTGAGTTGTCTCCCCTACACCTCATTACAGTCAACACTTAACTAGGGGGAGGTATCTCCCCTACACTTCATTACAGTCAACACTTAACTAGGGTGAGTTGTCTCCCCTACACCTCATTACAGTCAACACTTAACTAGGGGGAGGTATCTCCCCTACACTTCATTACAGTCAACACTTAACTAGGTTGAGTTATCTCCCCTACACCTCATTACAGTCAACACTTAACTAGAGTGAGTTATCTCTCCTACACCTCATTACAGTCAACACTTAACTAGAGTGAGTTATCTCTCCTCCACCTCATTACAGTCAACACTTAACTAGGGTGAGTTGTCTCCCCTACACTTCATTACAGTCAACACTTAACTAGAGTGAGTTATCTCTCCTCCACCTCATTACAGTCAACACTTAACTAGGGTGAGTTGTCTCCCCTACACCTCATTACAGTCAACACTTAACTAGAGTGAGTTATCTCTCCTCCACCTCATTACAGTCAACACTTAACTAGGGTGAGTTATCTCCCCTAGTTAAGTGTTGACTGCAATGATGTTTAGGGGGGATAACTCACCCTTCTTCACAATAGTAACATTGTGAACATTGTTATCTTGACAACAGTTACATTGTTATCTTGACAACAGTAACATTGTTATCTTGACTAATGGGGAAAATAACGTCCAGTACAGCAAACTATTGGGGAAAATAGCATTACATCGTCCCTTTATTCAAGTATTTTACATTGTCTTGAATGACGGCATATGTAGGGTAGGGCAGTCTCATGTAGGACAGTAGTACGTTGGAAATATTGTTATCTTGACAACAGTAACATTGTAAACATTGTTATCTTCTCAAGATAACAATGTTACTGTTGTCAAGATAACAATGTTTAAAATGTTACTGTTGTCAAGATAACAATATTTCCAACGTACTACTGTCCTACATGAGACTGCCCTACCCTACATATGCCGTCATTCAAGACAATGTAAAATACTTGAATAAAGGGACGATGTAATGCTATTTTCCCCAATAGTTTGCTGTACTGGACGTTATTTTCCCCATTAGTCAAGATAACAATGTTACTGTTGTCAAGATAACAAAGTAACTGTTGTCAAGATAACAATGTTACTGTTGTCAAGATAACAATGTTTACAATGTTACTGTTGTCAAGATAACAATATTTCCAACGTACTACTGTCCTACATGAGACTGCCCTACCCTACATATGCCGTCATTCAAGACAATGTAAAATACTTGAATAAAGGGACGATGTAATGCTATTTTCCCCATTAGTTTGCTGTACTGGACGTTATTTTCCCCATTAGTTTGCTGTACTGGACAATGTAATGTTATTTTCCCCATTAGTTTGCTGTACTGGACAATGTAATGCTATTTTCCCCATTAGGTTGCTGTACTGGATGATGCAATGTTATTTTCCCCATTAGTTTGCTGTACTGGACGTTATTTTCCCCATTAGTTTGCTATACTGGACAATGTAATGTTATTTTCCCCATTAGTTTGCTGTACTGGACGTTATTTTCCCCATTAGTTTGCTGTACTGGACGTTATTTTCCCCATTAGTTTGCTGTACTGGACAGATGCCGGCAGCACTAGTCCTAAGATAGAGCAGGCCTGGATGACCGGTGAGAAGCGGTCAGTCTTGATCTCAACACGGCTGGGTCGAGCGACTGGACTGACTCTAGATGACCACATGGATGATCGACTATACTGGTGTGACTCCAAGGAAAATCTGATCGAGTCCATCAAACTGGACGGGTCAGACAGAGTCATTGTGGTTGGCAAAGGTGAGTGGTCCAATTTGTTGGTCCAATTTGTTGGTATGTAAAGGTCATGGGGGTCATTAAATTTGTTATTCTTTCAAGGTCGTTGTGCCATTTGTATTGCTAGAGGTTGTGTTTTCTGCATTGGTACAAAACTAAGGCTTAAAGGTCACAGAGTAAATGTCAAAAGGTCAAGGAATTAAGAGCATAGGGTCATAGGTAGTCAGTTGTATATACCAATCTTATTAGGCCACCTGAGAAATATTAATACTTCTGGGTATAATTCAAAATTGGTTGGAATTATCATCATGTGATGATAGTTTGATGGTATGAAAATCCAGACCCTGAATCACCCCCAGGGCCTGAGGGTGGGGCCAATAAGGGTCAAATTGGCGAAAACTTGAACAATCTTCTTCTTCAGACCCTGATATTCTGGAATCAAATACTCTTCATTGATGGAAAGGTCCTAAGGTGCTTTATCATGATTTTGAATTTAATTGCCCCCGGGTCGACTATACCTCCTGGTGGGATGGGGGTTGGTAGGTGTAAAGTTTATTATGGTTTATATAGAGAAATAACACTTTAGTGTGTATATTTGTAAAGTTTATTATGGTTTATATAGAGAAATAACACTTTGGTGTGTATATTTGTAAAGTTTATTATGGTTTATATAGAGAAATAACACTTTGGTGTGTATATTTGTAAAGTTTATTATGGTTTATATAGAGAAATAACACTTTGGTGTGTATATTTGTAAAGTTTATTATGGTTTATATAGAGAAATAACACTTTGGTGTGTATATTTGTAAAGTTTATTATGGTTTATATAGAGAAATAACACTTTGGTGTGTATATTTGTAAAGTTTATTATGGTTTATATAGAGAAATAACACTTTGGTGTGTATATTTGTAAAGTTTATTATGGTTTATATAGAGAAATAACACTTTGGTGTGTATATTTGTAAAGTTTATTATGGTTTATATAGAGAAATAACACTTTGGTGTGTATATTTGACTTATTTTCAATGGGTTAAAGTTTAGATTTGGTGGGAAGTATTATCATGTGAATGTAGTTTGATGGTTTGGGTTTCAAAATAAATAACCTTGCTCAACCTTAGGGCCTGAGAGGTTGGGCCAAAAGGGTTCAAATTGGCAAAAATTTCAACATTCTTCATCTTCAGACCTGGATATGCTAGAATCAAATACTCTTCCTGAGTGGAAAGGCCCAAAAGTGCTTATTGAAAATTTTGAATTCAACCACCCGGTTCAGCTATTTCTCTCTGGGTAGGGGGTGAATTTCACTATATTACATTTCATTGTTTCACTTTTTTCTGACAGTATAACAAAAACAAGTAACAATTGTACTACAACTCAGTTAATTATTAAGGACATTGGGCCTCTTGTTTTTTCAATCATTTCTCATTGTCATTTAACTTTATCAAGATAACATAGATCTTAAACGAGGTTTATTACACTTCATTCAAGTTAACAGTTATCAGGTAAGTTGTATTTTTCATACAAGTCTGGATAACCCCGTCAGTTTAGGTGTGTTTGTATTTTGAGTGTACTCTTTATATACTTCAGGTCTAGATAACCCCGTCAGTTTAGGTGTGTTTGTATTTTGAGTGTACTCTTTATATACTTCAGGTCTAGATAACTCCGTCAGTTTAGGTGTGTTTGTATTTTGAGTGTAATCTTTATATACTTCAGGTCTGGATAACCCCGTCAGTTTGGATGTGTTCGGAGGTTCACTTTACTGGGCATCCCAACAAATGGGGGCTGTCATGAAGATGGACAAATTTGGTCGCGGTGTCAACATCACGCTACAGACTGGACTTCTGCTGCCCTCTAGTGTCCGAATTATGCACCCGAAACGTCATGATTTATCAGGTGATTTGCTTCAATTTTGTTTCAGTGTTGATATGCTGGGATGATTTATTGGGCACCCAGAAGCCTAAAGGCTTAAGTTTTAGGGGAAGAAAGGAAATTCTCTAAAATAAGATGCATGGACATTGAAAGACTGATAAACAAACAAAAAAGGTTGTGAAATATAGAAACTTGCTGCTTTACACAATAAGTGTGATATTTTTGTTGGAGTTAGTTCCCTTGGAAGATGATTAAATTTGGTGTTGTAGTAAAGAATTGGTGTGTGGGGAAGAGGAAGGGAAGAATTTTATACTGTGATGTTTTGTGTTGTAGTAAAAAATCGGTGTTTGGAAGAGGACGGTAAGAAGTGTAGCCATCTGTGCTTGCTGAAACCTAATGGTTCGGCGTGCGCTTGTCCTGATCACTCTCAATTCATTGATGACTCCGACATACAGTGTGATGCAGGTAGGCATTAAAGAATTTACTACTTTACTAGTCATAACTTTTAATTTGAAGATAAATTTAAAATTCTTTGGGTTTTTTTTCTTTTTTTCTCAAATTTAGATTTATTTAAACTTTTTGAAATTTGGACCCATTTTCAATTCAGAATTTCTCAGTCTGGCTTATTATTGAGATCTTGGGATTATTGAAGATATTGAAATTATTTTCATTTTTGACACTGTTTACTTATCTTGCAGCCTGGGAAACATCGAAACCTTCCCCGTCCAAGTGTTCCTGTCTGAACAATGGACGCTGTGTAATGGCTTCCAACAGGACTTACAGCTGTCAGTGTATTCAAGGTAGGTTCTCAGTAAGCATTGGCCAGGGATCATTTTAAGGTTAGGTCAAAGTTCACCAGTCAAAGTGCAATATAAAGGTTAAAGTTGAATATAGGTCATTGAGGGTAGGTCATAGTGCAGGGTACAGATATCTTCAAATAAAATGTAGGTCAGTTTTCTCTATAGAGGTAAGTTCAAGTTCCTTATGAACTGTAATTCTGAGTTTACAATGGACAATAACTCAAAGTTCATTGATAAATTATAGGCCAAAGTTCATGCATAGACTATAGGCCAAAGTTAATTGATAGACTATAGGCCAAAGTTCATTGTAGAGAGTAAATAACAGCCCAGGATAGATCTGTCTTCATTATAGTCGAGGATAGATCACAGTTCACTGTATAAAGTAGGTAATAGAGTTCACTAATAGATGGTAGGTCAGAGTTCACCAATACAGGGTAGGTCAAAGTTCACCAATATAGGGTAGACTAGAGTTCACCAATACAGGGTAGGTCATAGTTCACCAATATAGGGTAGACTAGAGTTCACCTATACAGGGTAGGTCATTGTTCACCAATACAGTGTAGGTCAGAGTTCACCAATACAGGGCAGCTTAGAGTTCAACAATATAGGGTAGGTCAGAGTTCACCAATAGAGGGTAGGTCAGAGTTCACCAATATAGAATAGGTCAGAGTTCACCAATAAAGGGTAGATCAGAGTTAACCGATACAGGGCAGGTCAGAGTTCACTTATATAGGGTAGGTCAGAGTTCACCAATATAGGGTAGACTAACGTTCACCAATATAGGGTAGGTCAGAATTCACCAATATAGGGTAGGTCAGATTTCACCAATAGAGGGTAGGTCAGAGTTCACCGATATAGGGTAGGTCAGAGTTCACCAATAGAGGGTAGGTTAGAGTTCACCAATATAGGGTAGGCAGAGTTCACCAATACAGGGTAGGTCAAAGTTCATCAATATAGGGTAGGTCAGAGTTCACCAATAGAAGGTAGGCAGAGTTCACCAATACAGGGTAGGTCAAAGTTCATCAATATACGGTAGACCAGAGTTTACCAATAGAGGGTAGGTCAGAGTTCACCAATATAGGGTAGGTCAGAGTTCACCAATACAGGGTAGGTCAGACCTAGAGTTCACCCATAGGGCAGGTCAGAATTCACCAATATAGGGCAGGTCAGAGTTCACCAATAGAGGGTAGGCAGAGTTCACCAATACAGGGTAGGTCAGAGTTCACCAATATAGGGTAGGTCAGAGTTCACCAATAGAGGGTAGGTCAGATCTAGAGTTCACCCATAGGGCAGGTCAGAATTCACCAATATAGGGCAGGTCAGAGTTCACCAATAGAAGGTAGGCCAGAGTTCACCAATATACATGTAGTGTAGATCAAATGTTGGCATATATAGTTAAATAAAGATTTTTTCCAAACGAATGGCAAATATTTTTATGGATACTGGATAAGTATAGAATATAGAATAGGTCAGAGTTCACCAATAAAGGGTAGATCAGAGTTAACCGATACAGGGCAGGTCAGAGTTCACTTATATAGGGTAGGTCAGAGTTCACCAATATAGGGTAGACTAACGTTCACCAATATAGGGTAGGTCAGAATTCACCAATATAGGGTAGGTCAGATTTCACCAATAGAGGGTAGGTCAGAGTAGATCAAATGTTGGCATATATAGTTAAATAAAGATTTTTTCCAAACGAATGGCAAATATTTTTATGGATACTGGATAAGGTCAAAGTTCACAACAGACGTATACACTGTGATATGTTGATGTTCAATAGGGTTTACAAAAGTTTCCAATGTCAAAGTTACTGGGCCTAAAACATTAGACTATTGGTGGTACTGTCCATATTTCAGAATGGTTTATATATAAGACCTGATTTATATGTTGATTAATATATAGTTAATATATATAACACAAATTATGTGCTATTTAGTATATATATAAGACATGAATTATGTGCTTCATAGTTTATATATAAGATACGAATTATGTGCTATATAGTTTATGCATCAGACACTATTTATGTGCGATATAGTTTATATATAAGACACTATTTATGTGCAATATAGATTATAAATAAGACATGGTTTATGTTACAGGTTACACAGGGCGTTACTGTGAAGTCAGTAAACCTATCAGATTAGTGGTGGAGGACGAATCACCACGTAAGTACATGGTCTTCAGTTAGCTATATATATATAGTGGTGGGGTACGAATCACCACGTAAGTACACGGTCTTCAGTTAGCTATATATATATAGTGGTGGAGGACGTATCACCACGTTAGTACACGGTCTTCAGCTAGCTATATATATATAGTGGTGGAGGACGAATCACCATGTAAGTACACGGTCTTCAGCTAGCTATATATATATAGTGGTGGAGGACGAATCACCACGTAAGTACACGGTCTTCAGCTAGCTATATATATATAGTGGTGGAGGACGAATCACCACGTAAGTACACGGTCTTCAGCTAGCTATATATATATAGTGGTGGAGGACGAATCACCACGTAAGTACACGGTCTTCAGCTAGCTATATATATATAGTGGTGGAGGACGAATCACCACGTAAGTACACGGTCTTCAGCTAGCTATATATATATAGTGGTGGAGGACGAATCACCACGTAAGTACACGGTCTTCAGCTAGCTATATATATATAGTGGTGGAGGACGAATCACCACGTAAGTACACGGTCTTCAGCTAGCTATATATATATAGTGGTGGAGGACGAATCACCACGTAAGTACACGGTCTTCAGCTAGCTATATATATATAGTGGTGGAGGACGAATCACCACGTAAGTACACGGTCTTCAGCTAGCTATATATATATAGTGGTGGAGGACGAATCACCACGTAAGTACACGGTCTTCAGCTAGCTATATATATATAGTGGTGGAGGACGAATCACCACGTAAGTACACGGTCTTCAGCTAGCTATATATATATAGTGGTGGAGGACGAATCACCACGTAAGTACACGGTCTTCAGCTAGCTATATATATATAGTGGTGGAGGACGAATCACCACGTAAGTACACGGTCTTCAGCTAGCTATATATATATAGTGGTGGAGGACGAATCACCACGTAAGTACACGGTCTTCAGCTAGCTATATATATATAGTGGTGGGGGACGAATCACCACGTAAGTACACGGTCTTCAGCTAGCTATATATATATAGTGGTGGAGGACGAATCACCATGTAAGTACACGGTCTTCAGCTAGCTATATATATATAGTGGTGGAGGACGTATCACCGCGTATGTACACAGTCTTCAGCTAGCTATATATATATAGTGGTGGGGTACGAATCACCATGTAAGTACACGGTCTTCAGCTAGCTATATATATATAGTTGTTGGGGACGCACATGTATTCTATGTGCTGAAAAATTATTTTACTGTAGTCTGTGAACTTCTATTTTAGTTCTGCCATAATTTTGTCTCTCAGGTGTTTTACAGCAATATCTAAATGTTGTATAATCATATCTTCATGTTGCTTTTACAATTGCATAACTACATATAACAAGTGGCCCAATGGGCCTGCATCACTCACCTGGGAAAAATCTCAAACTTGTAACCTTAAAATGTTCTGTAATAAAGCTACAGGCAAAATATCAGTATTTATGAATAAAAATTCATTCAAAAGAACCTGTTAATTTTTTCTAAAACATTTCACCCCTGTTATTGAAAGTCGAACAAGGTCATTATGTTGAACAAATTTTATAGCCTTTCATCTCAGGATGCAACTTGCAAAATATCAACATTCTGGGACCCATGGTTATTCAGAAGAGGTCGTTTAAAGATTTTAAACAATTTTGCCCCCTGTGACCTTGAATATAAGTCAAAGTCATTCACTTTAACAAACATGGTAGTCCTTGATCCCAGCATGAAACTGACTAAATATCAACATCCAGGGCCTTTCGGTTATTCAGAACAAGTTGTTTAAACATTTTGAACATATTTGCTCCTTGTGACCTTGAATATGATTCAAGGTCATGCATTTAAACAAACTTGGTAGCCCTTCATCCTAGTATGCTACAGACTAAATATCAACATCCTGGGCCTGTTAGTTATTCAGAAGAAGTTGTTTAAAGGTATTTTTTAACAATTGACCCATGTGACCTTGAATATGGGTGAAGGTCATTCATTTGAACAAACTTGGTAGCCCTTAACCCCAGCATGCTTCTGACCAAATATCATCACCCTAGGCATTTGGGTTATTGAGAAGTTGTTTAAGGTTTTTAACATATTTGACACCTGTGACCTTGAATATGGGTGAAGGTCATTAATTTGAACAAACTTGGTAGCCCTTAACCCCAGCATGCTTTTGACCAAATATCATCACCCTAGGCATTTGGGTTATTGAGAAGTTGTTTAAGTTTTTTAACATATTTGACACCTGTGACCTTGAATATGGGTGAAGGTCATTCATTTGAACAGACTTTGTAGCCCTTTATCTCAGCATGTTACTGGGCAAATATCATCTCCCTGGGCATTTTGGTTATTCAGAAGAAGTTGGCTAAAAAATTTAACATATTTGACCCCTGTGACCTTGAATATGGGTGAAGGTCATTCATTTGAACAAACTTTGTAGCCCTTCATCTCAGCATGCTACTGGCTAAATATCATCACCCTGGGCGTTTTGGTTATTGAGAAGAAGTTGTTTAAAGTTTTTAACATATTTGACACCTATGACCTTGAATATGAGTGAAGGTCATTCATTTGAACAAACGTTTTAGCCCTTCATCTCAGCATGCTACTGGCCAAATATCGTCACCCTGGGCATTTTGGTTATTCAGAAGAAGTTGTTTAAAGTTTTTAACATATTTGACCCCTGTGACCTTGAATATGGGTGAAGGTCATTCATTTGAACAAACTTGGTAGCCCTTCATCTCATTATGCCACTAACCAAATATCATCACCCTTGGCATTTTGGTTATTGAGAAGAAGTTGTTTAAAGTTTTTAATATATTTGACCCTTGTGACCTTGAATATGGGTGAAGGTCATTAATTTGAACAAACTTTGTAGCCCTTCATCTTAGCATACTACTGGCCAAATATTATCACCCTGGGCCTTTTGGTTATTCAGAAGAAGTTGTTTAAAGGTTTTTTAAGACAATTGACCCCTGTGACCTTGAATATGGGTGAAGGTCATTTATTTTAACAAAGTTTGTAGCCCTTCATCCCAGTTTGCTTCTGGCCAAATATCATCACCCTAGGCCTTTTGGTTATTGAGAAGGAGTTGTTCAAAGCAAAATATTGACGCCGGACGCGAGACGGACGCCGGACAGTGCGCCACGGCATAAGCTCACTTGCCCCTTTGGGCCAGGTGAGCTAATAATGATTGTTCCCTGTATTGAATTCAGCTTATCGATCAAGGGTGAAAATAAAACGGGGCAGAAAATGTTTTAGTATTAAGATATAGTAGATCCAACTGTTACCTTTATCATCAGGTTTACGGAGTCAGCTACTCATACAAAATCAGACTACTTGTAAAAGTAAAAGGTTAGACCAAAACAAAAACATCCAACTCAAATCCTAGAATTTTTGTGCGGTTTGTGTTTGTGCTGTGATAATTAAAATAAACAATTTCAACATGAAATTTATGTAAGATTGCAATGGGACAAAGTGTTATTTTGGCAATTTCTCCCAACCTTTTCCATTCTGTTACAGCTATGACTGCCATTATCATCCCCATCATCGTCTTCTCTATTGTCATCTGTGGTATCGTCCTCTTCCTCTGGATCCTAAAGAAGCGTGGGTAAGTAAAATAAAATCACAGCTGATTGACATGTGTGTTCATAAATATGTTAATGTGTTCATGAATATGTTAATGTGTTCATAAATATGTTAATGTGTTCATAAATATGTTAATGTGTTCCTGATTATCTTAATGTGTTCATAAATTTGTTAATGTGTTCATAAATATGTTAATGTGTTCATTAATATGTTAATGTGTTCATGAATATCTTAATGTGTTTATGAATATCTTAATGTGTTCATAAATTTGTGGATATGGATGTGCATGTCTAAGGCTAATGTCACAATACCCAGATTTTTCAGTGTCTTCAGATAACACATTTAATAGATAAAAAAACTTACACATTATTTTACCAGCGAAATTAAGGGGACATGTAGGGATTTATTCTTTTTGAAGTAACAGTGTTGTCTACACTCAGGTGTCTATGTGTGACTCCTCTTGGTATGCTCTGATTTTCATGACACCTACTACATGGATCATTATGGTATAAATTGAACACTTAATGTCTAGTTTGAAACGAAATTCTTCATGGCTGCCAGTCTTGGTTTTGGCACCTTTAGTAGTTTCCATGCGTTAACTCTTTGAATTTCATCTGTGCTCATTCCAGTGAAGAAAAGTTGTTGATACTTGGTGACCAGGTATAAAGAACAATGTGAACTATGACCATTGTTAAACAGTTGGTTTAAAAATATTTGGTTTGAAATATTGACATTTGAACACCGAATTTTTGTGCACAAGAACAGCCTTGAATATCATAACTAAAGAACAAAATACTTATAACCTGTCATATTCAAGGTTGTGTGGGTGCACAAGAACAGCCTTGAATATCATAACTAAAGAACATAATACTTATAACCCGTCATATTCAAGGTTGTCTGGGTGCACAAGAACAGCCTTGAATATCATAACTAAAGAACATAATACTTATAACCTGTCGTATTCAAGGTTGTGTGGGTGCACAAAAATTCTGTGTTCAAATGTCAGTTTTTACAAATTCTTAACCCTGACAAATATAACACATTGATCAGAGCCTGGATAAAATATGTTAAAGGAAACTTCCTACAGTATGTAAGCCTTATATATAATGTCATTTGGAGGCACGGTAGTCTAGTGGTAGGACGCCAGGCTCATGACCGAAGGGAGGCATGGTAGTCTAGTGGTAGGATGCCAGGCCAGGCACTGTGTTGTATCTTTGAGCAAGATACTTTACTACGCTTGTTCCAGTCTACTCAGCTGTAAATGAGTACGTGGTTGGGCAGTGCTAGAATTGTTAAATGCTAGCTGTGAGCGCCAAAATGGCAGCACTGGCTGTACCCATTGGCTGATTGCAAAGGCCCTATCACCACGGATAATAATTTGTGAATCGCTTTGAGACGACCTACAAACTAGGTTGTGATAAAGCGGTATATAAGAACCTCAAATTATTATTGTATTATTATTATTATTCTGAAAATGATATCTTCAACCAGGACTGTACATATTAACATGCACACTACCAGTGCTGTTGGGTCAGTAAGCAAGTTTTCCTGGGTTATATTAGTGAGAGGGGTTACCATTTTCAAACCATCCTGATCTGGGTACAGTGAATGTATTTGACAATGAAATATTCATCTGATGCACATTTAGATATTCTGTTTCTCGTTGGCAGGAAGCTGCTGCTGAAAGCTAAAGATCTAAAGCCAGGTGTTGGGACTGCAGTTACATACAGAGAAGGAGGAAACATACAGATCTCATCGCCGCCATTTACATACGACCAGACAGCAACAGATACAGTAAGTTACATACGACCAGACAGCAACAGATACTGTAAGTTATGTACAGGGAGGGGGATCATACGACCAGACAGCAACAGATACAGTAAGTTATGTACAGGGAGGGGGA